GCAACTTCACGCTATTAGAGCACTTGACTTTAGGCATCTTGAAACTATACTGAACAACTGAAGTTATGAATACAGTACTGTACTGGACGGGTTTCGGGGAGAGGGTAGAAATTTACCACTTTGTGGATGGAAAAATTTTTCACCAATATGCAAGAAACAAACTGGACTTCAGGTATCACTGCAGTGAAGGAGAAAAAGAGACACAGACAGACAGACAGACAGACATAGGCAGAGGTGGCAATTTCTCTTTTCAAAGTGATTGATTCTACACCAGGTCAAGAACCGTTGCCCTTCACTCTGTACAGTATTCCTTCAAATCCCGTTACACAAGGCCAAATATTTCTAAGAAATGAAGTTCCAAATAACATCGTTGCCAATACTTGCAAATATATTTCTGAGCAATAAGTGAAACTCGCCTAAAATATGACCAAGAATATGAGTTTATATCACTTCGGGCCCAAATATGACCTAAAGCTAAAATATGGTTCAAATGTGCATTTATATGGCCAATAATATATATTTACATTACAATATTGACATGTTCACAAGAGTCAGAAATGCGTTTATATTTAATTATACATGTGAAAAGATGCCAGGATAAAAATATGACATGTCACAGAAATCCGAGCCCTAGTGATAATATTCCCATTGTGTGATTAGTGGAATAACAGATTTTAGAGCATCAGTCCAGTTACTTTATAGCTGCTCCACATAACTACCATACTTTTGAATCTGTGTAACAATTCGTTACTTGTTTCAAAAAATGTAAATACACTACAGGACCTATGAAAAATTAATTTAAAAAAGGCTTAATACTAAAAGGCTGTCCTGCAGAGGGAATCAACATTTTAACATTAACATTTTAATGTTTGTCATTCAACAACACTGTCTCTATCAAGAAAAATGGTCAAGTCAAGGAGGAAGAGGTGAGCAGGGCATGTAGCATGATTGGGGGAGATGAGGAATGCATATAGAATATTGGTGGGAAAGCCAGAAGGATCCTGGGAAGACCAAGGCATAGGCGGGTGGACAATATTAAAATGGATCTTAGAGAGATAAGATGGGAGGGTATGAATTGGATTGATCTGGCTAAAGATAGGGACCAGTGGAGGGCTCTTGTGAACATGGTAATAAACCTTCGGTTTCCATAAAATGCTGGGAAATTCTTGAGTAGCTCCAGATTTGGCTTCTCCTCAAGAAGGGCTCAGCTCCATAAGTAAGTAAGTAAGTCTCAATCAAGAATATATAGCATAAAAGATAGGATGACTGATGAATATGGAACAATTAGTAGAATTAGCGCTGGCAGAGGAAAGAAACCGTAGTATTCAGAGAAAATCTGCCCCAGTGCCCCTTTGTCCACCACAAATCTCACATGATGGGGCCTAGGACCAAACCTGTGCCATCACGATGGGAAGCCAGCAACTAACCACCTCAGCTAACACACAGCCCACAAAGAGTATCAGAACTACCATATTTCTGTACATTTTTATAACTCACCAGAAATATTGGTACACTTTTCAGCTTCGTCCACTGAATGCGAAAAGAGACACGATTACACCATGCACTGGTAAGCCTCAGCCATGATGGTAGTTCTAATAACTCTGTTAGCACAGTTTCATCAAGTTCCAAGTTGGACAGCTCACCTTCACCTTTGAAAGTACTAAGATTGATTTTGTCTGCTGATAAGTTTTTGGTGAACCTGCAACAGAAGTATAAGAGGCACATACAGAGAATGGCTCAGGTTGCAAGGCAGTAATGGTAAGTCAGTAAATTTTCAACACTTTATGAACACAGCCTAGCATTTTATCAGGCATATACAGCTGTAGCACTGACACACCTTCAAACCCATTTGCTCATTCTTGCCTTTCTGGGCTTCGCTTTTCAGTGAGCTCTTATATCAATTCATTTCTGGAAACACCCATTAATACTGAAGTAGTTCTCCAATCTCTGAAAGAACTATGACTGAGAATGCTAGATAAAATCTTTCATATGACATGTAAAATACTACCCTCTACCACAACACAAAGCATCACCTCCCAGAAAATAATATTCTATCTGCAATGTCACCACTGGGAAAACCTCAAATCTCACTTCCATATGACATACCAACTATGACTTTTTTATTTTAACATACAATCTCTTGTTGTTTTATGAATTTATTTATTTATTTATGAATGTATTTATTACCATAATAATTTTCAGTACACTTCTGAGAGAAGTTATTTATTCCATTTATTGCTCATGCATGTTAGATGTTTTTATAGTTTTTCTTTTGATGTGTGAGTGATGTAACACACATTATTTGACATTGTATCGTTTATTGATAATATCCATTCATATGCATTGTTTTTTATAAACTGGATGAATTTTATAAGATAAAAGGTTAATATAATTCAGGAGGAAATTAAGAGGCAATTGAACTCAGGTAATGCCAGTAGGTTCACAATCTACACCTGCCATCTAACACTGTTAGGGAAATTAAATGAAGAAGCATGGGACACAGAGGGCAGGGGGGTAATGACGCCATCCTCGGTGAGGTTGGCTGAGCCACGGATGTCTCTTTGGCAGGGACATATCATAGACCAGGGATGCGTTGGGACACAGCTTTGGAACACCTCCTCACGGCCCCGCCGGCCAACAACAGTCTTGGGGGTCTGGATCAGTATGACCTTCCGGGGCTGGCAGCTGAGTTTCCATAAAGGGCAATGGTTATATGACCGAAGCCTCAAATGTGGCGGCATAATGACTCTTGGGTGTCACTACGGTGTACCCGGGGCAAATGCGGGAGAGCACATCTATGGGGGTAGCTATGGCTATTTGAGTTGTCTCCCTAGAGTACAGATAAGGTGCCGCAAGCCTTAGGGCACAACACGTTAAAATGGTTTGACCAACCCATGTGGAGGGGTGGGAATGGGGGAGCTCAGAAGCAACCCCCAGGGGCGATAATCTTGTGTAGGATGCCCTGGTCGCAACCTCATGACTAACTGGTACTGCACTCCCATTTATCATCTGGCATACCCCTCTCGCCCTGAACACGCACTCTTGGACCTGGAGGCTTGTGAGGGTTGCATTTACTACAGGACCAAACCACCTAAGCCAAGGTGTGAGGCATCGTGCTGAGGGCTGCATGGCACTGGGGTGGTAATTAACCAGTGTCTTGAACGATCCCCTCAGGGCACCAGGCAGCACCCTGTTGTATTTATGCCTTCAACCCGTATGGGGCGCTGCAGGTGGTGACCTTTAAAATCCCCATAACTCGAGGGACCGAGATGAATAAAGGAACCAAATTAAAAACTGGTCGTAAAGACCTTAAACTGAAGAGAGAGCCCCCTCCAAGGGGATCCCTATGAGAAATGCTTCAGCAGGGGGCTGGAAGCTCTGGTGAACCATTAAGAGGCCCAGTTGCAACCAGCAAATCTGCTGTTGAAATTTCAACCAAATGCAAGACTGAACCAGTGGTTCAAAACCTGACAGAGGTAAAACCAAACACTACTCTCCTGGGGGTCATTAGTATTGACACACCACTGCAGGGAGCTAGTACTTCTAACACACCTGCACCAGGAGAAGGACTGGGACACCTAGTCTCTGGAGTAGGTGGACCTCATCAGGCAAAAAAAGCCTTGTCTGGATGTGCTAGACGGAAGTTGAAAAAGGCAAGAGCTGAGGCAAGCAAAGCAGGAACTGGGAGCAGTCAGCAACCAGGAAATGCAGACTCGTCCAAGCAGGAAGAAACCCACACTGGCACCTTTAAGAGGCCAAGGTCAGACAGCAGGACCCCTACAGAAACAGCCAGAACTCCGAAAAGGCCCAGAGACTTACAAGGAGGCTCTGACCAATATAAAGGTAGCTATCTTCAAGGACACTTATCCTGAGGATAAGCTTACCAAAGATGACCAAAATTCCATTCTGGAAGCATTGGGGGAGGTGTTACGTAGGGCTGAAAGGGGGAAATTCCACACCTGAAATCCTACAGACTAGTGGGAGGTGCACTTATTTATGCATGTGCCGACCAACAGTCTGGTCAATGGCTCACCAAAGCCACTGACAAACACAGGCTGGAATCAGGGGCCAGGCTGAAGGCTACTGATGCCAGGAACCTGCCCAAGCCTGTTAATGTGGCTCTCCGGACTAGGGGCAAAATTGCCCAGAATCAGGAAGAGCTGCTGATATGGATTGCAGACCTTAATCCAGGACTTCATACAGAGAACTGGAGGGTACTCAATAAGCAATCTGAGTCGAAAGGCTCATCTTATTCATAGACCAGGGCTCCCATACTATTATACAGAGGACCGGTTACAAAACAGTTACAGGACTCTCACAGGGGACTGTTAAGGTGCTGGATGATCCTGAAGTTCAGCACCAGGTAGAACCTATGACAGATACAGTATCTTCTAACTTGGTCTCTGAGGAGGAAGGGGACAACATACCCAGCCCCCAGATGACAAAAGCAAAGTGGATCAGGCAACCCCTTCACACGGAACCCAGTCCGAGGACAGAGAGGGACATAAGATGGAAATTGACCCCTCCTCAATTGGAAGAGATCATGAAATTTCTTCAAATCAACCTACAACACAGCAAAGCTGCCATGGCAGCTCTGTGCCAACAACTAGCTGAGGGTAAGGCAGATACAGCACTTATTCAGGAACCTTGGTTATACAAGGGTCAAATAAGGGGCTTAACTAACACAGGGGGAACAGTTTACTCTGCTGTACCGAGTAACTATGCAAGATCTTGTGTTTATATCGGGAATTGTGTTAATGGCTTGCCTTTGCTGGAGCTCTGTTCTAGGGATGCAACAGCAGAAAGGATAACGTACCCACATCGAGGAGGCAGCAGGGAGCTGATTATTGCTTCAGTCTACCTTCCATACAACTCGGATGAACCACCACCAACTAAGGAGATGAGGGACATCACAGACTACTGCTGTAGCAGGAAGAAGCAACTCATTATTGGGTGTGATGCCAACGTGCACCACATCTTGTGGGGGAGCACCGGGACTAACCTAAGGGGAGAGAGCCTTATGGATTTCTGGTGAGTTCGAACCTGAATATTCTAAACCATGGTAACAAACCTACCTTTGTGGTTTGCAATAGGAAGGAGGTTATTGATTTGACACTAGGAACAAATAACATAGGAAACCTGGTAAGTAATTGGCATGTATCTGATGAGCCGTCCCTATCAGATCACAGATATGCTATATGCTTTAAAATAAGCAACATTACAGTAGATCAAGCTAATTATATGAATCCTAAAAGAACCAAATTGGAGTCTTACAAAGACGACCTAAAGGTAAATCTAGAGACCATCTCGCGAAATATATGCACAATAAAGGATGCTGATCGGTCCGTTGACCAGTTGCAATGGGCTATTATCTTGTCCTTTAATCGGAATTGTCCGGCTAACACCACTCGCAGACCAAAGAGAGCACCTTGGTGGAATAAACAGCCGACTGGAACCTGGCCAAAGTCATAATTAACCAATCAAAAATCAGATGGGCACTGAACACTTTTAGACCATTTAAGTCAGCGGGAACAGATGGAACTGTACCAGCACTTTTGCAGCATGGGGCAGAACTTTTACTTCCATACCTATGCCACATATATAGAGCCTGCATGGCATATGGTTTCATCCCCATGGCCTGGAGGCAAGATAATGTGACGTTTATCCCAAAGCCCGGGAAACTTGATTATACTGAGGCTAAGGCTTATCGTCCTATCAGCCTGTCATCTTTCTTGTTGAAAATGATGGAGAAAATAGTGGATAGGCATATCAGGGACAGGGTGTTGAGGACATATCCTCTACACTGAAACCAGGTAAATCTACCAAAAGCGCACTACACAATGTGGTAACACACATAGAAAGTGCGATTGAACACAAGGCTATTGCCTTAGGAGCATTCCTTGACATAGAGGGAGCTTTTGATAGAACCTCATTTGATATAATCAAACAGGCCACTGGAAAGCATGGCACAGAGCCTGCAATATGCAGGTGGATCAGTGCTACTATGCTGGAAAGCAGAACCATAGCTGTTACATTATCAGAAGAAACCCTGGGGGCATCCACGTCTAGGGGTTTTCCACAGGGGGGCGTACTCTCGCCTCTGCTGTGGGGCCTGGTCGTCAACGACCTCTTGTGGGGTCTTAATGATGATGGGTATTATACAGTAGGATATGCTGATGACATAGCAATCTTCATAAATGGAAAATTCCTTTCGACCATATCAGAGCATCTTCAAACAGCTCTGTACATGGTGAAATGATGGTGTGAAAGAAAAAGTCTTTCCATCAATCCCAATAAGATGGTAATTACACCGTTTACTAGGAAGAGAAATATAAAGTGCCTTAAGGAACTGACTCTCTTCAATAAGATGACCCGCCTCTCCAGCGATGTCAAGAACCTTGGTCTAGAATTAGACAAGGGACTGACATGGAGAAAGCAGCTGGACAAGGTCATTAACAAAGCCTATAAGGCTTTTCGGACATGGAGAAGCATGTTTGGTAAAACTTGGGGACTGCAGCCGCACGTTGTGCACTGGATATACACTGTGGTTGTAAGACCCATAATTACATATGGCGCCACAGTACGGTGCCCCAGAGTTAAACTCAAGCAAGGCAAAACTCAGCAAATTGCAACGGTTGGCTTGCTTAGGTATCACAGGAGCAATTCGAACATCTCCAACAGCTGCACTGGAGATACTCCTTGGACTCCCCCCACTGCATCTACAGTTGGAGGTAGAGGCCAGGGCAGGAATCTACTGTCTCCAGTGCAGTGAACAATGGAAACCTAGATCCGATGGTTGCAGCCATGCATACATAACTCAGAACATGAAAAAAGAACCCAAATTGGGGTCTGACAAAATGATACTGAGACATGTATAAGAAAAACCCTTCACAGTCAGATTTCCTGACAGGAGTGAATGGGAAGAGGGGTTTCAGCCCGATAGAAAAGGAGGACTGATCTGGTATACAGATGGTTCCAAGATAAATAAGGGCACTGGAGCTGGTGTGTACTGCTATGGCATGAGGCAGAAACTTAGTTTCAGCCTTGGGCAGTACACAACAGTATTCCAGGCAGAAGTACATGCCATTATGGCATGTATTATGGAGAATTTAGATAGCAACTATAGAAATAGGAACATCTACATTCTATCTGACAGCCAAGCTGCACTTAAAGCGCTTGACAAACACCAGATCAATTTAAAATTGGTCTAGGATTGCCACCAAACCTTCATGGAACTGGCCAAACATAACAGGGTACAACTGATATGGGTGCCAGGGCATGAGGGTATTGCTGGAAATGAAACAGCAGACCAATTAGCTAAGATTGGAGCTGAACATCCGTTCATAGGACCTGAACCAGCCTGTGGCATCTCTATAGGAGTTTCCAGACAGGCAATTAAGGACTGGACAAACATGAAACACAAGAAATACTGGGGATCCTTAAATGGACTCAGGCAAGCAAAGGGACTCATACGGGACCTTCTACTAAAAGAGCGAAGGAACTGTTGAAGTTAAACAGAAACCAGCTACGATGGGTGGTAGGACTACTTACAGGACACTGTTGCCTCAAAGGACACCTGTTCAAACCGGGACTAAGTTATAGTGCCACTTGTGAGAGGTGTCAAGAAGAAAACGAAACAGCCACACACATATCCTGTGTGAATGTGAGGCCTTAGCTTATTTACGATTACGTCACTTGGGTCAATACTTTATGGAACCAAGTAACTATTTCGACGCCCCCACGTATAAGATCCTGCACTTCATTCGAAGCGCGGGATTTCTGGGGGGATAATCAAAAGGGGAAGCACAATAGACCACTGTAGGTCACAGTGCAAGGGCTGAGAAGGCCTACCCCTCATACATTCATTCTTTCATTCATGGAACACAGAGGACGAAAATATGCACAGAACTGCTTGCTGTTTGCTCACTAAACATACTTTTCAACGTGAAGATAGAGGCACTCCTTTCCTACAAAACATCAGTAAACTTCTACCATATCACACATGGCATGACATCCTGCAAGACTACTCTTCAATGCATAAAAAGTTGCCAACTACCACAAGCAGGAGCTGCATAACTTACTGGATATAGCAATGGGCTACAGGCTGGATAGCCAAGGAACCGGTGGCTGATTCTTGGCAGGGGCAAGATATTTTTCTTTCCTCCACAGCACCTACACTGGCTCTGGGGCCCAACCAACCACCCACTCAACAGGTACTGGAGGGTCTTTCCCCTTAGGTAAAGCAACTAGCGTGTGATACTGACCACTCACTTCCATCTAGTGTCAAGGTTAAGAATACATGGAGATATACCTCCACTCCCCTACATCTTTGAAAACTTGAATAGCAACTAAACATTATTTCTCCTTACTCAAATTAATTCTGCAAAATCCACAACTGCAACTGCAAAGCTGCACAGGCCCTCTTCACTCACATAATTCACAATAACCCCAGATACCAATATGCCTAAGTAATCAATAACTTGACGCTTTTTTAAATTACAATCACATCCGAAACAGACTAGTTCATTTATGGGCTAAGCCAAAACCATTTAACACACATTTCAGTTATGATGAACCCATCTGCATTAAGGTAAAGTTGTCCCTGTGTTTAACTGATTAAGCATTATGCCATGAAGACATACGGGGGAGTGAAGGTACAACTTCACCATTCTTGACCTATTCGATAAATGGAGGTGACTGGTCAGATTCATGCCCCCCCTGCTGCTTTACTTCCCTTCACCCAGAGAAAGAGCCCATGACAACCATTGGGCAGTAGGCTGGGTGAGCCCCAAAGCCAAACTGGATGCTGTGGAACATAGAAAAATCACTTGCCTCCGCCAGAAATCGAACTCCAGCCATCCAGCCCGGAGCCCGTCACCATACCAACTGACGTAACCCAGCAATCCCCTTCTGCATTATGCAAAAGAAATTATGTTGCCGTACAGAAATCTCCATCCCTAACTTATACATAATGGTCTTTGTTAAAGTTAACTAAGTCTGCAGCCAGACTTTCTGGTTACTCTCAGAGGTCTTACTTATATTAAAACGAATGACAACTATTTGTATTCAACGTGAACCACAGTGCAATGCATAAACTATCAGTATTTGCATGACAGGGCTGTTATATGATAATAACTATTAATAGAGCATGAAACTTCTTCCACACTTAGTAGAAGAACAAGTGCGCCGAGAAACTGTAGAAACACCCTTTAGTGTCAGCCCCTCCTCACTAGCAGAAACCTAATTTGTCATTGTTGTCATAAGCACACAAATATTTCACAAACTGTTATACTTGCCTTGATAAGTGCTTCAGGAGTTGGTTTTTGATTATGGACACCATTATGCAGACTTTTTTTTCTGCTCAGCCTTCTTGACGTCGACCTCACATTGTTACGCTCAAAAAAATACACATAGTGCACTACCAGATTTCACGAAACTAGCGATATCTACGGGTATAAGGTAGAAATACTTCTCCTAGGGTACATTTCTAAATTAATCAATATGTTTCGCCGTTGCAATATGAGCTCACTTCATTGCGGAAGAAAATGAACGCACCTTACTGGAAATCTGCCTGCCATCTGTTAATCCCAGTTCAAAACTTTGTCTTCTAGTTTAATTCTATTCTCGACTTCGGTAGCTCTTTTGTGTCCCCCCCCCCGCACCCAAAAAAAATTAAAATGGAAGAAATCAAGCTTCTTGTCGTACGGAAAACCAAACTTGAATATTACTGAAATAACTTTTTTGAAAATAAATTATTATGACAGAATCATCTGAGAATGTGAATTCAGATGGTGTGCTTTAAGTCTGTTATTCACCCCTCTCTTTTCAAAACTCAAAGGGACATACTGTACCTATTACATTTCTTCCTACCAGAAGATGATTACTTACTTAATAAATACTTCAGGTATTTCTTTCATTGATGACATTTGTTGTTAATAATTTGGATAAGTTTCAAACCAATGACTGTATATGTGATTGGTGTACCAGAAGGAATGACCACCTTCATATACCTTCAACACATTTATCATCCTATCAGAGAAGGGTGTATTATTCAGGCGTCAAGCTATTTAACACTCTGCCGTCAAATATCACAGTTTTAAAAAATGACAAAAAGCAATTTAGGTTTGTTTTACGAAATTATTTGCAAAGTAATGTATCTCACTCTACTGATGAATCAGTAGTTAAGTTGAGTCAAAAGTTAAGAGGTAATAAATGGTCGGTGTGCGTGAATTATATATTATTGAGACTTGGTTCTTGAAGTGTAGTAGTATGTATGATGTCTGTTTTTGTTATGAATTTTAATTTCTGTACGTATAATATAAACTCCGTCGTAAATGCAACACTTTATTGTAGTTCTTGTCCCCCTTCTTTCATACTACATGTTTCGGCCGCAACCGGCCATCATCAGGTGTATTTCACTTCACATAGCTGTCACACTGCACTCAATATTAACATTTAAACTCTAGATTTCCAATTGTTCATTGCTCTGTTGTCAATCGGCACCCGATATTCCAGAACTCCCCTTGTCGGTTTTGTCAATTATGTTTAAAATCTCTATTAATATTGACTCGATTGGTTTAAAATTTTAAATTCTCAATTTGGTTTTAATATTTAAAATTTAAATTTAAATTAAAAATAAAAAATCACAGAGATACCTGCTCTTGCTTATATGTGCTGCAGCAGCTACCTCTTGCTTTCAGCACAGCTCGCGTGTTATTTTGTGCAGCCTCTCTGTGTGCGTGCCACTGCTTTTCTTCAATATCGGGTGCCGATTGACGAAAGAGCAATGAACAATTGGAAATCTAGAGTTTAAATGTTAATATTGAATGCAGTGTGACAGCTATGTGAAGTAAAATACACCTGATGATGGCTGGTTGCGACCGACATGTAGTGTGAAAGAAGAGGGACACAAGAGCAGGACTAACATCAACAATAAGCAGCCACAGGAAAAATAAAATCTGTGTGTATGATATCATTAGCCTAAGTTTTGTTATAAAAGAAGGAAAGTGGGTTAAAATATTGATGGAAAATCGCATGTTTGGAACAAATTGTATGGATATGATACATCAAACACATGAATAATCTGAGAATTAATAGTAGAAACAAGATTAAATATACTTTCATTCTGGAGTTAATGCCCCTCTGAGGCTTAGAGTCCATACATGCAATCACAGAGAACATGTTGGATTTTTTACAAGATGAAGAATTTTAGTGTTTTGGTTACTCTGATGTAATTTTTATGTAATTTCTAGCTAAAGTGAAAGTTTAACATGATACATTACTGAGATATCCATCAACACTAGTATTTCGATAATTTTACTTGTAGAACTGTACTATTCTTGATAATCATGTCATGGTATAGGACTGAAGCCATATGATATCTAGAGAAGATGCATGCAATGTCTTGTGCACATGGCAAGCTGGTAGTCATTTCATGGTCCACAGGGTGGCAAGAATACAGTTGGTCTTTTCACCATGCGCTTATAAGAAATTACAGTCATTTAACCATGAAACAAGCTGTGAAAATTATCGAGATAATGTGCCTCTGTATAAAGTTAGCATTTCACACTGAACGCACTAATAGTCACTTGTTATATATAGTGTAAAAACCAGCTCTTTCTCATTAACTGTGCATTACTCGTATTATTGTGTATAGAGTTCACTTTCTGATTCATTTGTTGTCATAAATAGAAGAGCATATTAGTTACTTGGTGGATGCTTGTGGCAGCATAGTTGATTGAGGCACTATGCTACAAGCCGGAAGGTCGAATGTTCGAGTCCCGATGAGGTCATTGGATTTTTTCAGTTTACCTGATCCTTCCAGCATCGACTCAGCCTCTAAGAGAAATGAGTACCAGTAATTTTCCTGGGGAGTAAAGGGCAGCCGGCGCATAACGCTGACAACCTTACTACCATCTGTGAGCCGATTGTCTAGATGATGTGGATGCCTCGACATCCCACAACCCTATTGGCCTTCACGGCCTGTTACAGGGATAGCTTTACCTTTATTACCTTTTATTAGTTGCTTGGTATGCACAGCAACATTGTGTTAGTAACTGGTGAAAGAAACTGTACAGAGGGGTCCAAAAAATGTACTCATTCTTTGACAGTCAGTATCTTTGGAACAAAATAACATGTAGTTACAATTCTTGGGTGGAGAGAGAGAGAGAGAGAGTCATTGTATGTGTTTGAAGTGACCGTCATCAGTGACTAAACAGCGTCGATGCCACCAAACTGCTGAGCGAACTGCGGCTGTCAGTGTGTCCGGTGTGATGGCTGCACATGATGCTTCGATGGTTTCTCGTAGCACGTTCAGCGTAGCTGGCTTTTGTCGATAAACTTCATCCTTCAAGGTTCCCCATTGGTAGAAGTAGAGAGGTGTTAGGTGTGGAGCCCGTGGTTTGTACTCAATAGCACCTCTTCGACCTATCCATCGTCCAGGTAGTGTGTCATCCAAGTATGCCCTGACATCTCAATGGTAGTGTGGTGGAGCACCATCTTGTGGTAAGTAAAAATCTCTCATCTCCAAACAGCTCTCGAATGGCAGGGAAAATCGATGTCTGAAGCATATCGAGATACACCTGACAAGTTACAGTACCTTCAAAGAAGAAAGGACCAATCAAACCGCACGACGACAGACCACACCACACATTAACACCCGATAGATTCACTTCCTTGCCCACATGAATGTGTGGATTTACAGGAGCCCAATACACACAATTGTGGCGGTTAACATTACCATTCATTTTGAATTGCGCCTCGTCAGACCAGATAACTTTACCTGCAAATTCCTCATCCTCACGAATCATGCTTTCAAACCACTCGCACTATTCAAGCCTTCGATCCGGGTCGTCCTCGTTCATAGCATGCAGCTGTCTTGAAATGTACACTTTACACTTTGCAGCCTTCAGAATTCGCCGTAGACTTAATGGGCTTAACCCACTTTCAGGTGCACATTGATTCACAGATTTTTGCGGTGATCGTGTAAACTGTTGCAACACCACAGCACTGGAAGCTGGACTTGTTACTATCCGTGGTCATCCAGATCTTGGCTTATGCACATCACGAACAGTGCCGTTGACTTCAAACTTATCCCAAATAAGGGCAATTGTTCGACGTGTTGGTGGCTGAGTTCCAAACTCATTCTGCCATTGTCGTACCTCTTTAATGTTTTTGTACTTCCAGTACCACTTCAGTACAGCCTTGCATTGCTCAAAGAACAACCTTTTAGTCATTGTTGCTGCTGTCTTCTGCTCGCAGCGCTCACGCGGGACGACACTCACGTGACTCATATGACATTCGCCATCTGTTAAGAAAACATTACACTACACTATTGCGCAAGAATTGTAGCTACATGTCATTTTGTTTCAAAGATATTGACTTTCAAAGAGTGAGTACATTTTTTGGACTCCCTGTATATTCATTATGAAAGCATGGCCGTTAGCTACAAGTATGTGACAGCCCTTCAGGGTTGTCTGCCCCCTCTCAGTATTCAGGATACACAACTGCCATTAACCCACAGCTTTCTACCTTTTGTATGCTAGTGAAAGATGGATTTCAGTTCACCGGTGATTTCACATCTCCTTAAATTAATGGATTAAGTTCATCATCCTGTCTGAAATAGCATATCATACATTCTGCAAGAGATGTTCCTTTGACTCACTTCTCTCCACCTTCTTACAGACAAGGACTTTCTTAGGAAATGCAGGTGTAGCACGTACACTGGTAATGCAATAAAATATCATTATCAGTGCAAACACAAAGATTGCAACTGTACCTGCCACAATCATAAATCTTAAAAATGTGTAAATTTTTAAGTTAGTTTCATTTTGTGATTTATCATTAATTTGGTTCATTAAAGTTTTATGCCCCTGATTATCTGTTTTTGAATAAAAATCTTTAAAGCTCGAAGCAATTAGATTGTAAATATCAAAATTATCATCATCAGTTAAGTCTTGGAAATTAGCAGCAGCAGATGATATTTCATTATTATTATTTACCTCTTGAGAAATCGTATCATCAAAATTAAAGACAAATTGGTCAGCAATATCCTCAGGACTTAAATCATCATGGAAATTTAGGAGCTGAATGGCAGAGTCTGCAGCTTCATCCTTTCTTGCTGTTTCTTCAGGTTTTATATTTTCCAAAATAATAAATGTGTCTGAAGATTCATAGTCATCATATTTTAAGCTTGGGATTTCAGCAGCAGGAACTGCATGATCATCACAGAAGATGCATGTATAATCATAACTACGACTGTTATTCAATGTATCATCTTTGTTGTTGTCAGCCAAACTAGAGGTTGACGTTATTTGACTATTGTTATGAGCAGCATTGTCATCCATGATAAAGTCATTATTCTGGCTTGAGATGTCAGTGTTAGAGTCTCGGATGTTATTTGTTATATTTGGGTCTTGTAAATCTGAACTTTCCATGCTATAATGTACATCAGCAAATAAATTATCATCCTTGTGTTTCAAGCCGGGGTTTTCTGCTGAAGAAGGTGGGTCAATATCCTTGTCGGATTCTTCATAATTTTGATATTCACCATATAATTCATATTCATAAAAACCAGTTTCAGTATCTTCATGAATAAAATCATCATTTATACTTGAAAATTTTACAGGATCTCCAGTTTCATCTGTTCTATTAACTTCATTATTATTATCTCCAACACTCATATTGACAGACAAATTTAGGTCCATGTCATCCTTGTCATCTAAGCTAGGGATTTTTGCTGATAAAAGTGAAATATTGTCATGGCCAAGTTCTTCTGAATCACTATCGAATTCATCATAAAAACCAACATCAGTGTCTTCTGGAATAAAATCAGGTACTTTTGAGGACTGAATGGTATAATTTGCGACTTTGTGATTTCCACTTATTTCATCTCCAACTTTGGTAGTGACATTCAAACTTAAGCCTGCATAATCCTGGTGAGATAGGCCAGGGACTTCTCCTACATAAAGGAAATAACTGTTCTCATCCAGTTCTTCAGAATATTCATCATCAGTATTTAAGATTTCTCCATTATCATCAACATACATCCATACATCATCTTCACTGATGGTAGAAGAAGGCAAATAACTATTCGTGTCTAATTTGCTATCATCTTTGTCACTGACAATAACAGCCAAGTCAGGTGTTATTTTCTCTCTGATGGGGAGACCTGTGACCTCCCTGATGCAGATGCTATCCTGATCTTGCTTGTTTATTAGATCTCTGAGTTCATCCCCTTGCCAGCACTGCACTGTTTTGTCAGTTCTGATGTCTGAGTCCATCATCTGATTGGCTGATATCCACATCAGTAGAGCATGAAAATGACAGTCACACTGCCAACGGTTACCTGCCAACTGCAGTGAAGACAATTCAGGTGCATTGTTCAATGATAGTTGCTGCAAACTATTGTGCCTCAGATCCAGATTTTTCAATTCTGGCAGACCAGATAAACTGTCTGTGCTGAAGTGTGAAAGGTGACAGTGACTCAAGTCCAGTGACTGCAGTGACATAGCTATTAAGAATGGTGTATGTAGGGTATGAAAGGTACGCAGAGGATTGCCTTGTAGTGACAACATCTCCAGGTTTGTATTCTGTAGAAATATGTTGGGATGAATGAATATCAGGCTGTTGTATGACAGGTCAACTTTCCTCAGAGTTTTAAGACTGCTGAATGTCTCAACCTCAATTCTTGTGATGTTGTCAAACGAAAGTATCAGCTGTGTTAGGTTTGGATACAGATGAAAACTGCTGTTATGTAGTTTGTGTAGACTGTTGTGGGACAGGTCAAGTGTACGCACCAGCTGACCAGGGCTGATGGCTGGCACAGATGTCAGGCCCTGCCAACTGCAGTTTAAAATCATAATGCCAAATTCATCAGTCAACTTTGTACACCCAGAGTCACTATCAGTTCTCTCTACAGCAATTTTATGGCCACTCACTACACTTCCCAGCAGCAGTACTGCCAACAGCATCCACATGGTGACTGATTTATAATATATTTTCAAGTAAGATTCGTTGTTTCTGATATTTGTTTACAAACCAGATACCTGGAATAGAAACAGCCCTTTGTAAGCTCAAGAAATGTTATTAATACAGTTTCAAATAACTAAGCATTAGGAAAAATGGAAGCCCTCTACTACTCAGGGAAATCTGAGTAACTATCATGAAATTATATACCTTTAGAAGTTATGCATTTTAAGGAAATTACAGGAAATGGTAAAAACAAGAACGGTCATCTGCATGAGGTTTAACATTCTCATGCCACATACTCTGGTAGACTGTTCCCAACATGTTGAAAAAATATGTGGCTCCATCTTCAAGTTGAAAACTAAGATTCTTCCACCCTGAAGAAGGAGGTGGTACATTCTTCCAAAATGTAATGTGGTATCACATCCAAGAAGACAGTAATTTTCACAGTAACTACTGAGGGGAACTGAAATTTCTCACATACCAATCTATTGAACAATATGGTGTTACATCACAAATCATAATTTTGAAACTCATTTAATTAATTATAATTCTAATTTGTATGAGAGGTTTAAAGCATGCACACATCTGCACTCATGGCCACCTCCCCCCTCACACACAAACCAGTTTAGAAACATATCAGAGAGCAAAAGTTTATGCATAGCTTTAAGGGTATGGTTACACTTTGAGTAGTAAACCTTATGGAAGAAGAGTCCAGTATATTCAACGAGATCTGTGGTAAGATGACTTTGGGTCCCCTCATATTTTCAGACCGTCCCATAACCCAGGCAGTTAGTAGCTTCCCACTACAGTGGCCTGGTTTCGATTCCAGCTCATGTGGGATTTGTGGTGGACAAAGTAGCACAATGTTGGGTTCGGCTTCCCATGCCAAGAATTCATTAATCATTCTATCATTACTGCTATATGGTCTCAATACTGACAGCGTTGTGAAATAACAGACTTAAAAAATCATATGTTGAAAATATAGTCTAGTAAATTTTTAATTGCCGGTCACGGTAGCCGAGCAGTCTAAGGCATGCACTGCCTTCGCTTGCTTGGAAACCGGGATCGTTGGTCCGAATCCCACTCGGCATGGATGTTTATTTTGTGTGTGTGCGTTTTTCTGTGTTTGTATACAGGTAGAGGCCTTGCAATGAGCTGATCACCCGCCCAAGGAGTTCTACCAAATATGTAAGATCTAGAAAAACCGAAGTGAAAGGAGAAGTTCATGGAGGTAGGCCTAGGTTCACTGGGGCTGTAGTGCCAAGGAAAAAAAAATTTTTTTAATTATGACAAAACAATCTACATCACTGTCTGATATTCATGCATCCTCAAAGATATTTTACACACAGTTTTTAGTTTCTGCTTGCAGTCCATGTGTTATTTTTTCTTAATTGCTGTATTTTAATTGCCTATGATATTACTTGCATGTTTCAGAATAAGAAAGTGAAGGAAATTGAGAAAAAATATGAAAGTATATTGTAATTCTTCTGCCTTCATTTTAAACATATGCCTGGCATAATAAAGAATAAAAGAAGACACAAGACTTGATTGAACAAGAAAGTAATTTTAATAACAATTATAAAACTCAACTGGCACAGCTCAGCCAATATAGTGACTAGGCTATGGGCTTGACAATTGAGGGATCATGGTTCAATTCCCATCAGACACAGAGATTCTTCTCTACTTCCCAGCATCCCTGTCACCTCTGCAACACAGAGACCCACTTGTCCAATAGGTACAGGTGGTCTTTGCCCCCAGAGGTAAAGCATCTGAGGATGGTAACTGACAGTGTACCTCTAAGAGTAAGAATTTGTGAAGCTACACCTCCATTTCTCATGTTTCTCCATAGCATGGTGTTTAATTAAGCAAAGGGACTTTACCTTTACCTTTTATTGGTTTATTACACAACAAAAATAACATCTATGATTCACAGTACTCTGATTGCCTGGCTTATTCTTCACCCCTGAAGATAGACAGTATGTGCCTCTCAAAGTTCAGTATACAGTGGAACCTCGCTTAACAAGCACCTCTCATAACAAGTAAGTCGCATAACGAGTAAAACAAATTGTTTAAAAAAAAAGACTCGCTTAACGAGCGACGTTTCGCATAACAAGTGACGAGAGGGGAAGTCCCGGATTGTATGCTTGCTACATCAGTATGTGTTTAGCACTCGTTCTGCTAGCATCTTAGTGTCGCTTGTGATCACACATTTTTCCAAACTTGTGTTCAGACATATTATTTGTGATTTTTTTTGTGCAGAGTTTAATAACCCTTGCAAAAGTGTCCTTGAAGAAAAAGCAGAAAAAAGACAGCCATAAGAGAATAAAAGTAACCGTAGAAATGAAACATAAAATCATTGAGAGGCAAGATTATAGCCTGCACATACAATCGGTCTACATCAACGATTTGCACCATTTGGAGTTGCATTGTGTTTCACAGCAGGAAGTTGTGGAGGAGAGTTTGTCAGAGGAGGAGGAGGAGGTAACAGCAAAGCAACAATCTTCTGGCGCAAAAAGAGAAATGCTGAAAGCATGGGAAACTGTTGCATCGTACACTGAGAAGCATCACCCTAATAAGGCAGTGGCTGTGCGCGCTACAAATTTATTTAATGATAATGCTGTGTCGCATTCTCACCAAATTTTGAAGCATCGACAAAAACAAATGTCTCTAGACAGCTTTCTAGTAAAAAAAGAATTAGATATGTATCGTAAATAAGAAACTAATTATTTCGATTTTTTTTTCTACAAATCAGATTCGCATTCCAGGTTGGTTCATTCCGCACAGAAGGAAAGATGAAGATGATTCACGCTCCTTAACAATGTATATATAATTTTCTTTGAATAAACGTTATACATAAAATGTTTTGTGTATTTTTTTGGCATTATCATATTTTACATTAATTTATATGGGAAAAATTGTTTTGCTTAAAGAGAATTTCGCATTACGAGTAAGATTCTGGAACAAATTATGCTCGTTAAGCGAGGTTCCACTGTATTTCCTTCAGACTACAAGCTTTTACATCCCAGAAGGTATAATCTTCACAGCCCCTGTTGTCAGAACCTCAAATGTCACCTCACACCTACATCATTAACATCACTTTCATAAAGTGTGCCATATTTCCATAAACAAGGCAATGGAAACTGGCTTAATTGGTGAGGAGGAAATTTCGTACTCATTTTACAAAGTGTATAAATATGTTGGTGTAACTATTACTCACACTATTTCTATTACTAATTCCATAATTACTGAGAAATTCCATTGCCTAACTTCAAGTAATGCATTAGCTGGAACATAAGGAGAGTTCTTTTTACTGCTTCTTAAAAAAAGAGGGGTTGCCCTATTTTCCACTCTTTAAAAACAAATATGAAGATGATGAATATAAGCAGTTCAAATTGCTAATTCTAATGATATTTGTGGAAATAACTATAATTATATTTAAGATATAAAATTCTGAATTTTTTATTTCTTAATTTTTCAGTTCTTATTTCTTTTTGATTATAAACCTCAGAACCAAACATATTCAGTTTTTTCAAAAAGTCTCTTTCTCTCTCATTTTCCCATTCAAAAAACAGGGGGTCATCTTATATTCAGGCTTATACAGTAGATTCATTTTAAGTGTGACTTTAAATGTTAGTTCTGACTTGTTATTTTGTGCAATAACAGTCATTAACAAGTAGAAACAGAGTTCACCTGTAAATCTACTAATCCATCAGAGTCAATTATGAAGTTACATTTTCTAATGGGTTATTTTAAAACACCGTCAGCAGCTAGGCCATATAGTGTCAGATGATGGAATGACAGACAAATTTTAAAGGGCCTGGAAGGAAGTGACCAAGGCCCAATCAAGCCACTATCCCAAAATTCCCCTGGAAAGACTGGGAAGAGCCACATAAACACTCAGGAGAGCTAGTATCCTTGCTGAGCTACATATCCTGTGTGATTGTGAGGCCATAGCTTACTTAAGATTTCATCACCTGGGTCAGTTCTTCATGGAACCAGGGGACTTTTATGATGCCCCCATAAATAAAGTCCTACATTTCATTCGAAGTGTAGGATTAATAAAGGGTTAATCCAAAGGGGAAGCACAATAGACCCTTGAAGTTTGCAATGTGAGGGCTGGATTTTATGGCCAACCCCTTACACACTTACATACACATACACGTCCTTGCTGAGATACAAAATGAGAACCTCTCAAACATGAGTCAAGATTGTTACTACTATACCAACCTGCTCAGTGCTGGGTTAATGTTTACAATGTCTTTACAGTTGCATTATTACATACCATAAGTAAAGTCGTTGCTGCTGCAGATTGAGAACAAAAAGATTTGTTCTGAACAATCAGACAGGAGGAAGAACCTTTGAAACCAGATATTCTCAATGTCAATCACTGAGACATCACCAATTGTAAGGAATACCCACAGTGGATACAGCCAACACATAAAGATAGCACTGTCTTGTTTATCTAAGATTAGATATAAAGTAATACTGCAACATACTTGATAAGCTGCAGATAAGAAAGGAAGTCTGGAATTTTTATCTCAAAATTACAAGAAGTTTAAATCATTAAAAGCATTATGGTGCTGCATGAGATTATAGTAACACAGTGCATCAACAGAGAGCAGCATGTGCTGGTTACAGATATTACTAATTCTGCATGTAGGTTATCTACTAATATTAATCCCTCTGTCATCAGTTATCATATTTTCATGAAACACGGTTATTTAAGAGCTTCTTGAAACCTGAAATTTGTATTTTTTTAATACTGGATTGCGAGTATGCCCCCACTAAGTCAACAAATTAAAAGAGAAATACATACACCTTAAACATCACACCAAATATCAACACATTCCTCAACAAGTCTTTTCATTTCTATGTATGCAGTTTCCTTTGTTATTTATCATTCTTAATTAGAGTGTGTCCCACAGTTTATTTGTAAATGGAACCCTTTCAGAATCAGAAAATACTCATAGAACCCTAAACCAAAACTAAAAGGCTCACATATAAATGGACATACAGCACTTTACTAGTATTCAGGACATAGCCAGTTCAAGTTTTAGCTGTGACATTGACTGTACTGACTGAGGTTTTCTGTAGCTTTTCTCAATTTCTTTAGGTAAATGCCAATATAGTACCCCAAATTAGGCAATGACTGCTTCCATCACATTCCTTCTGATTCATTATTTACTTGCCAGCCTACTTATAAGAAATGAAAATTGAAAATATTATTGCTGTTCCCATAAACATCATTATATCATGAGCCAAAACGATTTGTTACAATCCTAAGGTTCACCACCAACAAGGAGCAGGTTGGCATTGTGGTAATTCCCTAGATTTGTATTTTGGAGTTAATTGGTTCGAATGCCAATTTGGGACAACCAGTTACCCTGAATGAGATTTTCTGTGATTCTTTTAGATTGCTCCAGGCAAATGCCAGTACCATAGCTGAATTAGGCCATGACCACTTTCTTCCAAAAACATGTCAGTTCATAAATCGTGGATCATCCTTCCATTCAAAGGTACGTAGTCTGAGATGCTGAGTGTCATAAAATAAACAACAAATACCCACAGACAGTGTCAGAGCCCACCTTTAAAAACAATCATGAGATTGCTGAATCCAGCTCACATCCTCTAACAGGTTCAGTTTAATATCATTTTCCCACCCTACTCCTCAAACTTCGTAGAATTACTCCCCAAGAAATTCTGGCCCATTTTCTGTTTTCCAATCTCAGTTACAATCATTCTGTTTTCTAAGCTTCTTGTTTTAATTACAATACTAACACTAGGAGATCTCAGTAAATCATAAATTCCTAATTATGTAACATACACCATTCCCCATTTAATTAAAGTCTAGAAATTATCGTTTGAAATATGCAGTAGTTAAACCCTTGTTTAAGAAGGGTCTAGGTCTAGCATTTCTAACTACAGACCTATATCTATGTCAAGTTCTTTTTCAAAAGTGATTGAAAAAGTCATGTACAACCAACTCCAGGAGCATTTGAAGAAATACGAGTATAGTATTTTATCAGCTGAACAGTTTGGGTTTAGAGCAGACTCTTCAACAGGCAATGCCCTTTATATGCTAATTAATGAAACCCTGCAAGCTTTAAATAGTAAATCTGCAGTAGGTGGTATCTCTTTTGATCTTGAAAAGGCATTCGATTGTCTGAACCATGATATTTTGTTGTCTAAACTACAATTTTATGGTATTAATGGTAAAGCTAAATCATGGTTTGAATCATATCTTAATAACAGATATCAGAGAATTCAGCTTTTGGAAGAAGTAAATCAGACAAGCTTCTCTACATGTGGAAAGATAACTGATTGCGTTCCCCAGGGTTCGGTCTTGGGCCCATTGTTCTTCCTTATTCATATTAATGATTTGCATAAAATTGTAAATAATAATACTATATCTATATTATGTGCTGATGATACAAGTATATTAGTTAAAGGTTCTAATTTAAATGATTTTCAAAATAATATGTGTAACGCCTTTAATTGTGTATACAAATGGTTTATAACCAATTTACTTTCAATATATATAAATGATTCAATAAACTGGAGTTGTCATGTTGAGTGCATTATCACAAAACTGAGCTCGGCATGCTATATAATGAGGAATATTAAATCATACATGACTCTCAATACCTTGAAAACTATTTACTATTCCTATTTTAATATGATTATGAGCTATCGTTTATATATTTGGGGAAACACCCCATAGTTAAAAATATTTAGAATGCAAAAAAAGATAATTAGAATCATGATTGGCTGCAATAGTAGGGTTTCGTGCAGGAACTGGTTTAGAAAGTTGGAGATTTTACCTCTTGCATCACAGTATATTCTTTCACTCATGGTTTTCATGGTTAACAATAAAAATCGTTTTATTTTAAATTCAGAAAATCACAATATAAGTAAAAGACAATCCAATAATTTCTATCAGCCTATATCAAACTTTACTGTATACCAAAAGGGAGTGTATTGTATGGGCATTAGGGTCTATAATAATCTCCCTTCCCACATCAAAGAGGTATCTCATAATCCTAGGAAATTTAAAACCTGCACAAGTTAATGACTAGTCAAAAGCTAATATCAAACTTTATATTGTCATACTTATGGCATTTTAGGAGTACTATGTCATGATTTGCTTGTAGTCAGATATTTGACTAGTTCTTGACTGAAATGTTTCTATTGTTATTTCATAGTAAATTCTAATAGTATTAACTATCATGTATTTACTAGAATCAACTACCTGATTCAACATGTTTTATTTCATTTTATTCTAGTCAGTTACTTTGTTTTATCTATTCTGTATATTATGTACTATTCTGACATGTTCTATATCTTACGTGTACTGTGGATCTATGGAACGTTAAATAAATTGAATTGAATTGAATTGAATCTTTGGCAGTTTAACAAATGGCAGTATAGCAGCTGATATCTATCAAGATGCCATGACACTTGATGAGTGTAAACAAGTTAATTTAATAGCTGCAGGCACTTGGACGAGCACCAGTTGTTTATTAAGTCTGATTACATAAGCCCAGTGTGCTGCATGAGACAACATATTTGTGGGACCTGTGCAGCACAGCAAGATTTTATTCAACTGACAGCATGGCAAGTGAGTAGACAGGGAATTTAGACTTTAAAACCATTGATAGTACTTAAAAAAAAAAAAAAGATTCATGGAAACACTGATAAAGAGTCTGAAGTGCAGATAAAGTAGAAGAAAACAATATACACACAGCAATAAATACAGCTTGAAAGGAAAGAACTGAAATAACATTAAAAGAAAAAAGAATAAATGCAAAAATACTATACTTTATAGAAAGGTACCTGGTAATTAACCCACTGTTTACTGGTAAGCAGCCAAACTCACAGACACATTGCAGTTCTGCTCCTTTATGAATTTAAATAAGACAAGCTATACCCAGTATAACATACACCTTTCTTGCAGATCTCAAAACTTTTTAATTAAATATCAAAGCAATTTATTTACCGATTCATACATTCTTTTCATTTTATGCACTCATTTACATGAAGCAGCAAATGGGTTAACCTATCACATTTTATTCAACCATTGCATTACTTTGGCCATACACCCTCAGTTTTACTGGTTTTCAAACCACTCTGTTTGCTTCAGCAGAATTATTTGCTTAATTAGTTATCTGCTTTGTGTGTATACCCTGTAAGCAGTCCTCATAACAGAGCCAACAAGTGTCACCTACATCAGCATTCCAATAAACTTGTTCCAGCTGGCAAGGAGTGGAACCATGCCTAGGCATTTCATATATAACAATTCCAAGACCAAGAAGTAAGTCACTGAGTGTCACGTAGCATGCAGTCTTATGGCACATTCTGTTGTAGATATGAAATGGCTTGGTCATCCAGTTACAAGTCTACCCACTCCAGCATTCCTAGTGGACCACGATAAGGTTGCTAAAAACTGCAATGACATGCTTAATAAGTGTAAGCAACTTGGGATCAAACTAAGAGCACAGGTCAAGACGCATAAAACTGTGTAAGTAGCACCATTACTCTATTTTCAACTTCAGATATTTCACAGAAACAATGAATGTCAAAGCCAAGTTATCAACACTGCTTGGTCCCAGGTTCAGACCTCGGCTCTCTTCAGAGAGGATTCTCATGATTTCCATCAGTCCCTCCAACAAATTCCACAATTTCCCAAATTAGGCCATGACTGCTTCCCTTCACATCCTTTACAATCCATTATTCAATAACCATCCTATTATTTGACAGTATATACCTCTGAACTGCTACTGAGAATATCATTAAGTAAACAGCAAATAAACAAAAACAAGCAGAGGGAAATGAACTTCAGAATTTGGATTCAAAAAGATATGATGTACTGTTATTATACTTCTAAGATGAACCAAATACATTTACTTACTTACTCTGCACTATAGTCCTCTAAGATCCTTTGCCCCCTACAACAGATGCCCATTCTTCACCGTTATTTGATTTTTGCCTTCATCTAAACACTATATTGCACATGTTTTTGTTCTTGCTAGAACATGTAATCATAGCCATTGCCATCAACATCATTACTTTTGAATTACTGAGTTTTTGGACTTTACTTTTCCTGTTGCCATCGTTGTAATTAATTATCTGTATTACTCTTATTATGGGGGCACACGGTAGTGTAGTTGGTTGAGGCACTATGTTACAAGCCGGAAGGTTGCAGGTTCAAGTTCCAATGATGAGGATTTTTTTCAGTTGACCTAATCCTTCCAGCCACACTGTGACCCTGGGGTCGACTCAGCCTCTAACAGAAATGAGTAAAAGGCAGCCAGCGCATAAGGCTGACAACCTTACCATCACCTGTGTGCCGATTGTCTAGAAAATGTGGGACCCTTGACGTCTCACAACCCTATGGGCCTCCATGGCCTGTTACAGGGATAGCTTTACCTTTTTTTCTCTCTCTCTCTCTCTTATTATTGTAAGCATGTACAGAAATAAGAAATTTAATATTATTTTATACTGATATATTTAAAACTTAAATTGTTCCTTGCTGTCATGTTTCACATTACTCATGGTTCTTCCCATCATTAAAATACTAACTGTATACATTGTAACTATATATACTTTACTTTTCTCATTTCTTAATGATAACTTTGATTTGTGTTAATGGAACAAAAACATAAAGGCCTTGCTTTGCATTTTGTTTGTATTTTATTTCTTTTCCTTTATTTGTTTTCACTGTGTAATTGGCATTTCAGTTGTTAAATTTGCAAGTAAATTAATAAGAATATTTATTGCTGTTATTACTACTACTGCCTGAACTGGGGCTGCCTCTGCTCCCATTTTAATATCATTCCATCTAATGGTAACCAGAACATTTAAGTGCACGTGGGAAGCATCCACATCATTCCTTCTAATGGTAATCAGAACACTTAAGTACATATGGGAAGCATTCACATTTCAAACTCAGCAAGATGGCAAACTGGTAATACCGTATTTACGCATGTATAGGCCACGTGCGTGTATAGGCCGCAGCACAATTTTCAAACAGAAATTATAGAAAAAATAATTTTCTTGGAATATTATTTCAGGAGTATTACCCTGTATTACTAATTATGAATATAATTTTTTTTAAATGAAGTGTGATTTCGAATATAAGCCGCACCCCAGTTTTCCTCTTGAATTTTTGGCAAAAAATGTGCGGCCTATGCATGCGTAAATACGGTAATCAGACTCAATTTGTGAGGTGCCTGTTGGAATGCCATATATTCTGATTGAATTTTTTGTGATTTTCCTCAGCCCCTCCAAGCAAATACCAGGAAAGTACTTTGATTAGACCACTACCACTTCCTTTCTGATTCATTGTTCATCCATCATCCTACCATTCTGTGTAATGTAATCTAGCTACTGATGGTATCTTAAAATGCATACACTCACAATTCAAAGAAGTTTCCACCATTCAATGGGCAACTGTTGTCCTGCTAAATTGATTACAGTTACTTTGATCATTTTGATAGTTTATTTATTAAAGTGCAAGGGAACTGCATTGGCAATTGCACCAATGTTTGTGAAGATGAGTACATAATTATATGTACTACCCAGATGTGGCTGCACTGTTAGCCTAATTTCCTTAATTAAAGAAATAAAAGTAGGCTTCTGAGACCACCATGCTGTCTGTGTAACCCTCTCATCAACTTTTGAATGCCTGAACCAAGCTATATAAATCTTGGTATGTGTATCTTGACATGTGAGCCCATCTCAATAGCACACTTCATAAATCCCTCCCATCAGTCTGTTTCTGTATGTCTATCCCATTGTCCTTGCTAGGCAATACCTTGGTAAAAATGTTACCACAGCAATAAATACACACAAAACAGAAGAATCGTTGGATATGCCATTTTCTACGTGGTCCATATATCAAAGTGCTAGGGACCATAGTATTAACCACTCAAGAACAATTCTGATATACACTCCTATCTAGCATGTCCATGGGATCAATGCCAAATATGCTCTCATTTCCAATTTAGTCTACTGATTCTTCACCCCAAAGCTAAATACACTTGTTATTTTTTTTTAATGCCTGTTCAATGTATGATGAAGAAGTATCAAACTTCTTTCTGAGCAAAATCAAGAGAATTACTAGAAAAATATCTGAAATACTAAAAGAAATAACCTGGTCAGACATGATGTAGTTCAATGTTTATTTTAATATTAGTAAATTTAACCATAAAATATCTGTGATACAAAAAAGCTTTAGGATAAATTTGAGATAACCCTCACCATGAAAACCCTCAATCAGGATAGTTAGTGCTCCAGCCAAGATTCTAACCAGGCACTTCCCAAATATAAGTCAATTTGTTTGGTGAAGCCTAGTTATGGTTATATGCCAGTGTTGCAAAACATGAAAAGGAAATGATTGCTCACGCATATTTTATGAGCTGAATGTACACTGGCTATGGTATTGATATTTATTTTGCAGATAGGTTGTCCTGTTACTGTTGAGGTACAATGAATCCATTATCACATCATCACTATCATAATGTTATGGCAGGGAAGGAGCAGACTTGCAGACTGGTGGAACACGGAGATGCATAGTGACATCCACACTTCATGAAGCTGAGATGTATGCAAACAACGGTTTTGAAGACATCCTATATGGCTACCCATTGATACCCTTTCACCTGCAGCGATGCTATGATCTGAGATCCAAATTGCAACAGTTTCACGTGATGGTCAACAACTGTGACATTGTCACGACCCTCAATAAGACTGAACCGCCAGCTGGGAAACGTTGGTCAGCATTCATCAAGGTAGATGCTGGGAACAACAGAGGTAAGTTGTACCACGCTGTGAGTTTACTAGCACTGGGATACCAAGCATGAGTTGTATTTGGAAGATACATTCGAATCCTGGCCATTGACCAGCAATATTAAAATTTATCATAGCTTTTAATAGCCTCGAGTATGGACATCATCCATTCTCTTGAGTTTTTTTTTAAACCCAGTAGATAGTGCAAGTTTTGAGATTCTCAAGAGTATTCATTCTGGCATGTGATGCCATGTAGTCTGGTAGAAGTTTACTAATGATTCAGATGAATGTACTGCCTCCATTTTCAAGGACATATAGTATGTTGAGCAAGGAAACAGGCAAGCAGCAAGAGGAAAAGTGCTTTCTGTTTACTTGTCTGGCCAGGACATAGAATCATAAGTTCCTCACAATCTTCCTCAGCCCCATCAGGAAAATACCTAACAGTTCCTCAGTTAGGGTACAAATATATCCTTTCCAATTCATCACTCATTACGATCTAATTGTTTGTGATGATGGTATATTAATACAATTATTAATTTTTTGGACATTATCCATTACTGTCTTTTTATTTAACACACAATGTTTCAGAGACTGGACTCTTGTCTCCATTCTCACGTAAAAGCCTACTCAGTTGGGTCCAATCACTAGAGCTAGTCCACATATCCCGACCCCAATAACTGCATCATTTTTAGATTCTAAAGGGTTCTGATGGTAGTGTATGATACTCAAAATTACTGGGTTTTCAGACTTCGTGCATGGTTCCATGGTCTAAAACTAGAAAATGCAACGATTTGGAAACTGGATCTATTTCCGTCCTCAGGCAAGGGGGGGCGGACACCTACTCTGTTGGGTCCCTTAGAAAGAGCTAACTTCAATCACTGAACAACCCTTGTCAGATTCACTACAGCTATTTAAATACCTAAGACCAGGTTATGTCAAAAGGAGATAACAGGAAAATATGCAATAAAAATTGTGATAAATAATAGATGTATGTATGCATGAATGTATGAGGGGTAGGCCTTCTTGGCCCTTGCACCACAACCTACAGTGGTCTATTGTGCTTAAAAAATAATAGATGAATAAATAAATAAATTAGGACTGTGTTCCATGGAGTTAGTTAATTTCCACATAATTCAAACACAATACTTAACAGTATTTATACATGCACATCACACCAATATACTCAAAATTTTGACTTAGTTCAGGTGTGCTATTACAGCAGGTGTGTGCTGGCAGAACACTCAGGCAGTTGTGGACATGGCTTGCCAATTGTCTGACGGCCCACACACAGAGTTTCAGGGACTATATGTCCATTGTGGAAACTCATACTCTGCAGGAAATTTGGAACAAGTGAAAACTGTGAGAGATTTGAATGTAGAGAGAGCTCTGCATCTCACGCAAGAGCTGCAGCAGAGGGGAATCACCTGCAAAAATGTGGGAATTGGATCTACACCATCTTGCAGTCAGGAGGTCTCTACACGGATGTCCAGCCTCACAGAGATACATCCTGGCAACTACATCTTCTATGGTAACGTTACAAAGAATTCTGTCTAAAGCCTCTGCTTGCTTCTTTCTTCTTTCTTGCCTGGATTACTCTTCCACGCTGAAGACAGAGGTGACATGTTCCTCCAAAACGGTGGTTGACTTTCAATGCACTACACAGCATTATATCCCAGAAGACAGTCCTCTTCATGACACTGTTGTGAGAAACTCAAATCCTATATAATGTTGCAAGTTTGGTACTTAAGAAGTCAGTCATGCATCCTAACTAAATACATTGAAAAGTGTCATGAAATAACATAAAGAGGAGCGTGAAAGTTTTAGTGTAATCTATTTTTCTCTCACTTACTGAATCCTATGAAAATGGTATTTGTGACATTTGAGGTGACTATGAATAGTACTATCTGCTGGGACATTATGTCCTATAGTCTGGTAGTTTACCTACATACCCTTTATCCTGAAAGTAGAAGCAGTATATTCCTCTGTATTGTCAGTAAACTTCTACTATACAAAACAGCATCATATCCAAGCAGATAATACACTTCATAGTCAAGACCCTTGCCACACGGATAAATGCCATGAAATAACATATAGAGGAAGATGAAAATTTTACTGTAGCCGAATTTTCAGTCATTCAATTCTAGCAGAATTCTCTGTGTAGGATATTAGGTAACTTATCTCCTGGAACGTGATTCTGTTTATTCTTGACAAAGTTTACAGACATACTCTTCAATCTGACTACAGAGCATCACATCACATAAACCAGTCCTCAGCATTTCACGCGTTTGTTACGACCTACTCTGTCTTCTTCAGCCATTCCAGCCAAATGGCAGGAAAGTACCATGAAATATATTGTAATCACGTCCTCCCAAATTCATACTTACCATTACAACCATCTTCCCATCCCATCTGATGTAACAGCAGACACAACATAACACCTCTGTTTTGTATCTGGGAGTCCTGGGTTCAAACAACAGCCCACAAACTGGCTATTCCGACGCATTTTGTGCTTCCTTTCAAGGGATGCTACCATCCATATATTTTCTCATTTCATTATTACTAACCATCCAACCACTCAGGGCCATACATTCTAAGCAAGTGTTACAGTAGTTAAATAAATCATAAAATAATTTGAATCAGTACTGCTATGTCATAACTTGTGAACCTATCAATTAACATTGCAAACAATTTATTAGATTCACAGCAGGAAAGTCTGGGGTCCTGTTCCATGGATGACATTGCAGTCAGAGTCATGACACGTGTCGTGAGCCACTTCCCAGATCGTGGTCAGATTCTGATTGACTGTGGCTTCGCTGCCCTCACCAAACAGGGCTATGGAAAGATTTCCATCCCCGGATATGCCCATTTCCAGGACAACCCCAACCTCAAGTAAGTGGCAATGATACTGCATTAACCTTACATTCATAGTCACCTTTTGCAATATGGCAGGTTTATGATTCAAATCAACAACACATAAGTAACATTAAAAAGAATGAAAATGCAACAGTTCTAAGGATATATTAGACACTTAAGTTTATCATGGATGTTTTCTGGGCATGTCACAAAACAGGGACATTCAATGTGATTCCTCAGTGCACACAATGTCTCATTCCCAGTTATGTTGCTTTCATGGACACTGCTGTCCACTCTCAAATGCTTGGATACACCCGTGACAGAAAGAATCAAATGTCATCGCCACTTAGTGACATTTACAGTTATGCTATTATCAAAAAGTTACTAAATTCTATTTTCAGCCTCATTCCCATATTCATCCTTCAGTAGCAAATTCAAACGTTATTTTGACATTAGACAACTCAATTTCCTTTATGTTATAAGGAATACTTGAGTCTGTTGAAGAATTCCAAAATTCTGTGAACTTGAACTATATATATCCTCAAAAGAAGAATTCAATACACACCTAGCTCACATAAATCACTGGAATACCATCACATCATTCCCCTACATATGCTTGTCTATGTCTCTCTACATAAGCATGTAAAAATTTATGTTCAGTTTCAACTATTCATAAATGCCCACTATCGGCCACATCTTCTCACACTTCATACAATGCGATTACTCCGAATTTTCGAAATTATGAATGTAGAGCAGTTCGTGAGAATGAGAACTGGCAGGATGAACTTAAGTACCTGGAGAAAGCCTGCCCCCATGCCAAGTTGTCCACCACAAATCCCACTTGATCTTACTGGGGTCTAACCTGGATGGCCACCATGGGAAACCAGCAACAAACAACCATAGCTCAAGCATGAGTAAAGAAAGGAGACATAAAGTATTGTGTTACATTGTCAAAACAGACGCCCACAACTTCTATTAATACATGACACACAGTAAATGAGTACTTTTAACTGTTTTTATAATTTAATTTCATGCATCCTGTTGTGCTATAATATACAATTTCTTTATTTCTTTGTGTTGTGATGGTTTTAATAAAGAAATTTAATTTTAACTGAGTAATATAGGACTTTTGTAAGAAATATACTTCTACATCCTCATTATCCCATCCCTTAGCCCTCTTAACATAGGCAGAAAAACGGTAGCTACATCAAACTACACACTAATCTGTGACAAAGCAAAACAATGTAAACATCATAAAACTCAGCACAGTGGTCTGGGAAAAAATTTTATAAAACATCATAATGGCAGTCTGTCCATGTTAGATGGGTCCGTCATCACGGCATGGCTCATCCTCAGGTTGCGGATGGAGGAGACACCCTCCAGTTTTGGAGGGAAGATGCGAATATATTGAATAAGCAGTCGCGGACAGCCAACAAGGGGTGGCCCTCCAGCTTGGGGGTTGGGCGTGGGACTAACAACTCCTCACCGTAAAAATAAGTATGTTACGAAAATGAACACAAAGTCTCAGACCTGGACTGATCCCTTGGATAAACGACCTAAGCTAATGAAAATGGATATGAGATTTGGCACTTGGAATGTACGAAGTTTGTATCGGGGCAGGTTTGCTCAGGGCAGTGGCAGAAGAAATCTTAAAATATAAGTTCGGTTTAGTGGGAGTACAGGAGGTCAGATTGGATGGAGGTGGCATCGCACCAGCAGGAGACTATACATTTTTCTATGGAAAGGGAAATTAAAATCTGGAATTAGGTACAGGTTTTTTGTACATAAGAGAATCGTATCAGCAGTTAAGAGGGTAGAATTCGTTAGTGGTCGCTGGTGTGATAATGTTATGAATGTTCACACCCCAACAAAAGATAAATTTGATGACATAAAGGACAGATTCTATGAAGAACTAGAACACGTATTTGATAAATTCTCAAAGTACCCTATGAAAATTTTGTTAGGAAATTTCAATGCCAAAGTAGGGAGGGAAGACATTTTCAAACCAACAATTAGGAATGAGAGTTTGCATGAAATTAGTAATGATAATGGAGTTAGAGGAGTAAACTTCGCCACATCAAAAATCTTACTGTCAAAAGTACACCATAACATCCATAAATTTACTTGGACATCTCCCGATGGGAAGACACACAATCAAATAGACCATATCTTGATAGACAGGAGACGACATTCAAGTATACTCGATGTCCGATCATTCAGGGCAGCAGACTGTGATACTGACCACTACCTGGTGGTGGGAAAGGTTAGGGAAAGACTGGCAGTGAGCAAACAAACAACACATAGAGTTCATATGGAGAGGTTCAATCTCAAGAAATTAAATGAGGTAGAGGGTAAAGAGCAGTATCGTGTTGAAATCTCAAATAGGTTTGCAGCTTTGGAAAACTTGGAGACTGAGGT